CACACACACACACACACACACACACACACACACACATGCATATATATACACACTCATACACCTCTTACTCGAAAAGACAAGCAAGCAAAAGCAGCCTCTAAAAAGTATTTATAAAACAAACAGTAAACCTTTTAAGGCCTGTCTTATACGATTTCCGTATTCAATCCACCAAAAGAAAGCGCTCTTGTTTTCACTGTCCTAATCTTCATGGCCGTTAATGTATCGATACATTTTCGTAATCTTTGACCAACCATCCATCCTGGACACACCATTAGTAGAGTTCCTTGTAAACTGTAAACACATCGCCGTTGCCAAGGACAACGAAGCACGCTGTATGACGTAAGTATCGACATTGTATCGGATTCTGCATGTGGTACATGGCAATGCCTAATTCTCCACTCATGACTCTGCACAATGGGAGTTAAGTTAACAACAGAGAAAAGAATGGGGAAAAACCTTGCAACTATAGGGACTATGTTAACCCCTCCAGTGCCTAGTCTGCCATAATTTTTTCATGACAATATTTGATCGCTGAGAACAGTTTATGGCACGGTCATGAAAGGACTAACTGTAATATCTTTTGCTCAGCATTAAAACCCTTCTGTGCAAAACGGAAGGGAAGGGGTTAATTATAATGAGTGCGCTTTAACTTTGGCTCTTCTTTGTCTGGCCCCTGTTTCAGTAATTTTTATTTGCTCTGAAGTCAGTTTTCGAAAAGTACAAGTGGGTTAACTGACACCGGCGTATGTGGTGTAGCGGTTAGACTTTTTGCTATTGTCTACAAAAGAATGTGAGTTCAATTCCTGCTTGGGGAGGAGGGAATGGTTTTGGGGTTTGCTTGTTTGTTTTATCCAGTATCTAATCTTCGTATGACTTCTGGGATGCGGTGTCCCCAAAGACGATTTGCTCTGACGTGCAGGGTCGAAGCAGCCCGCCTCAGAAATGAGGGGTAACAATTTTGAGATAAAAGTCTCACTCATTGTCAATGTAACGTGGTCTTGGACCACTCGTTAGTTCCACGAGACATATTTTTGATCAGGGCAAAGGCGACGGCGTCAGAAAATTCAAATATATCTACCCAAGCTTAAAAACTCCCCAACACCATAGCACTTGTCCCATGACTTCCTGCACTTCAGAATTCCTTGTTTGTTAGCAACTAATTTTGATACATACCGAAACACTTCAGGAGACGGCGTATTAGTTTCGACCAATTGTAGTGGAATGATCCGTCGAATATTGCAAAAGCGCTAGGCAAACCTCTGGATAAAATGCACGAAGGAATTGTGCGGTGTAACACTTACACTAATATTATTATTATGGCCTTTGAAGTGGGTTTTTGGGCTTGCTTATAGACTCACTGCACACCCACAGAAGATGCAGCTTTTCCTTTTATTGTTCATTGGTACCGTCCAGAACAGTTTGTGCCGAATACTTGCTGGAATTAATTATGCATAGTAAATAATATGGTACGGATTTTAAACCCATCTCAGCACTGTACGTTTATTTAAGCAGTGGCACCTGCGAATAAGTGTACATCTCTGACAAGATCGATGTAGTTAGATTGATATTGAGAACCACGAACATCCACGTAAAAACTCGGACATGTTTTAGACTGCCCCGATAGAGATTCGAAGTTAGGGTCATTCGCCCTGTGGCCGTGTGAATGTGGTCAACTGAGCTAACTGAGTGCCCTATTATTGATCTCAATTCATGGCCACAACTCAGGGACAACAGTGAACTCTAAAGGGCTGTCAACACTAACATAGCTTGTCTGAAACTCGAGAACTTCCGTTATCTTGAACTTGACAATGATTTTTGTTTTATAAAGTGAAACACACGCAGGCAACACATGCAGACACACGCAAGCACACTCACACTCAGACATGCGCAAGCACTCACACACACACACACACACACACACACACACACACACACACACACACACAC